TATGTTTAAGAGGTTGATCCACCAGAAATGCTGAATGACAGTAATGGACTTCTGACAATCTCTCTGCCCATTGCCACGTTTCTCGTGTTTCGATGGAGAATTCCGTTAAACTCTCAACCCTATATTTTCACTGAAATTTCTTGCTAAAATCGCAGTTGGTAGCCAGAGATTATACGGTGATACTGTCGACGTAAGTACTTGTTATCAGTAGGTGTGCTTACCTTGCCTAGGGAACTTGTTATCATTAGGTTTGCTTTTACTGAGTTAGGCAGGTCGTCCGTTTCGGTCATGCTATTGGGTTTAGTGAGGGTTAGGGTTGGGCGTAGGTTAAGTTTTAGGAATAGGGTTTGCGTTTTAGAGTCAGATTTCAGTGATAGGGTTGGGGTTTAGGCTCCCATTAGGGTTACGATCAAGGCTAAGGTTAGGGGTTGGGTTAGGTTTAAGGTTAAGGTTAGGGTTAAGTTTAGGGTTAGAGTTAGGCTTAAGTTTAGTGTTAGGGTTAATGTTAGGCTTAGGGTTAAGGTTAGGGTTAGGGTCAAGGTTAGGGTTAGGGTTATGGCTAGCTGTTGGGTTAGCGTTGGGTTTTAGGATTTTGGTTACATTTCACTTTTAATGCTTAGGGTTAGTCTTTACTGTTGCGGTCATGGTTGGATTTTAGGGTTAAGCGTAGGGTTTAAATTTCTGCCATTATTACTTACTTATAAACTAGTCTTTGGAAAAGGAGCAATTCGAAAAAGACTTTTTGAGGTGATATCCGAGGCCGCGCCTTTTTCTATGGAGTTTCCACTCTTTTACCTTAATCTTTTCGTGAATTAGACTTTAACAGGGCCGAGGTTTGAAGCCAGCATGAATAAATGAAGCATTGAAGCCAATCATGTTAAACCTGTTACTCAGCCGCTTGTATCTTTATGTCGCGGCAGTTTAAGTCAAACGTAGGCCCTATCTACGTCCATCCTCACGCTCAGTCCCGAATAGGATGATAAGTTTGACGCCAGTATTCTGCACATAAGGAGTAAATAATAGGTTGGTGCAAGTTAGCGGCCGGATGACGGCACACGTCGGACGCTGGCAGAGCAGACGTCCGAGTGCCACCGGGTCGGGCGTCAGAGCGCCTCGGGCGAGGGCGTGTCTGCAACGGCACTGCGAGAGGCGCAATTTCAGGGGGCACCTGGAGTAGAATCACGACGCAACCATACGCACAGTGTTGGACGTGCAATGTGAAAACAGCATAGAACTGGTTAAACATGACGGGCTGCAAACGACAGCAACACGTCTGCGGGCTGAGTGGGAGACATGATGTGGTGTGAGAAAAACTGGCTGAAGTCAGTCAGGCATGAATGGGGACTAACAATAGGAAATGATAGTCAGTCATGCGAGAGGGTCTGTGCGAGGTTTTGTGGAGGGGAGAAAGTAGGCAGACGCTGTGCAACATGGCATCTCTGGCAGGATTGTGCGAGTTGGCCATGCAGTCCAAATCGACGGAACAGGTCTGGTTTACCCAGCCGAATTTTCATGATCTCAAAGTAGCTTAGGAGACGGGTCGTCTCCGCTCGGAAGTGAACCTACCGTACATGATGTGTCTAATGACACATGGTTTTTAATCCTGAAACATTACTTTGGTTAAAATGCATGACGTAATTCAGGTTGTAGTCTTGGTTGTCATGCTGTATAGTCCCAGATATTTCTGTCACGCAAGAACACTGATTCTTCATTCAGTTCTTCGTCCGCAAATCCCAAGTCAGCAAACGGTGACCACTTAAATAGTTTGAATACGTCCCTTTTGTAGCGTGCCACGTCTTCTTTAAATTTTATATTTGGTAAAAAGGGAGTCTTACAATTTTAAAAAAGTGCAATGCCCGAAAGATTCCAAACCTGAACTGCCTCTACACTTGCATTTATGGACCACAAATTACAAGCTGTGCCCCTGTCTGTTTAAAGGTAATCATGCATTCCGTTATGCCATAAGGAAAGTGCCATGCATATATAGTTCATAAAATTATACAGTTGGTATGGACCAATTCGTATACTCAGTGATAGTCGTCATTAAACAGAAAGGTATGTTGCTATTGGCACAGACATTCCATAGTCTTAAAAGTCCCATAAATGCCCAATTTTAAGCCTTAAGGTGTCCTACCTTCTAGTAGAAGAGCATAAGACGGCGTAATTTCCTATTAAATGGGTAAAGGAAAGTATACGTTGCGCATTCACTCTGTGAACTTTGCCAAGATCTATAAGGGCATCGAAAATCAGTGGAGCAGGCTTATCAAATAAGTAGTCATTTTTAGCTCGTGTGATGTTTGCAAGCGGCATAAAAGAAGTGCATTTAAAAGTCGACATTTTGGCTTGACTGAAAAGCCTCAGGATTAGGCTTTCTGCTACTTGCTGTTCGAATGTCATGCCCGACAACGTCCACCGTGTGCTCCACGGCAGGGTGAGAGCAGGCACTGTGACTTGCGTGTTAATTAGTTTACAGTGATGGCAGACTTGCGCAGCGTCTGCCGCACTCCGTCCTCCTCCCAAGCTGGACCTGATGTCAAGACACAGTCAAGAAGACCGGAGGTGAGAGCAGACGCAGGTGGCCAGCACAGCCCGACCCTCACTTAAGTGTAATACTACACCCCTGGTCCACACAACAAATGACCAGGATTTTAGCCAGCAACAACACGACGGGTCAGAAGGATGAGGATGACTGGGCAGCCATGTCCGCCACCTGTATACACAGCGGGAGCGCAGGTTCATCTACCGGCAACGAACCAGGTGCCAGAGAACTGCCAGTACAATAACAGTAGTTAATCCACGCTGTGCCGCCTGGTCCACGCCGGGGGACCATCGTGGACCAGGCGGCACAAACC